TTAATATATCTGATTCTTGAACTTTATGTGATTATCCCATGATATGTTTAAGCCAATTGGTGCTATTTTAGGGCTCGCTAACCCTAGAATGGTTGAAAACCATTACTGCCTAGTACCATAAATTTGATGTATTACAGGTGAAGAAAACACGAAAAATGAGAAGTTGCGCAGGCAAACAATTCTCGAATCACTGCCGGAATAAAAAGTGGGCCTGGAAAGAGCAGCTATCAAGGAAGGAAGAAGTGGGCCTGGAGTGGGCTGGGAGTGACCCTACTTCCCTGGAAAATTGCGGCCGAACAGAATGAATTGAGGGGGGCATTCTTTTGAATTTCTTTGCCCAAGTCTGTTGTCCAGTAGTGAGGTCATAAGGACATTATCGTTTTGGAGGGAGGGGTAATTAATTTGGAGGGTTAATTTGGGACGAAAAAAAAACTTCTAGGAGGAAAAAAAAGGCAGCAACGCAGGCGATTGGCGAGCGGTGATTGGACAAGAGCATTCGACGATCGACTTCTCCAACGCGGCGTGGCGTGAGCTGATTTCAGAGCTGATTTCAATAAAAACAAGTGATTTGGTTGGATTTTCTAGTCTGAATTATTTGTTTATTGTTGATTTGGAACATGATGATCAAAACCATATTGTTTTATCTTAGTTTCATCATGAACTAAACCCCAATTTCTGGGGGAAACACCATAGGATGTAGCTATTTCTAGACTTGAATGATTGATTCATAATTCTTTTCTTCCAATCTCTATTGCATGAAATTGCTTAATGCTTTGTGTTGACTGGCCACCAATACAATGATTTGAAGTTAATTAGGTTATTAGCGACAGTGAAACCCTAATAACTGAACCTATTTCATGTGACATAGTAACTTATCGAAGCGACAGTGGATTAAATAAGGTGTTATGTCGTCTTAATTGGGATATCGGTCTTCAGGCTAAACAGTTGATTCATTAAGCTACGACAGTAGGATTTGAATTAGTTGTTTAGTACGTAGTAATTCCCGACAGGGATAGATAGCACATTCGTGATATCCTGGCGGTAGAGAGTTGGATTAAACTGATTAGAATATGTGAATTAATCTGGATAAGATAGGTAGTGAGTCCCGGTGTTTCTCCCAGAGCTTTCTCCCATTGAATTTCCCCCGACAAGTTTACTTTGCTTAATTAGTTTATTTTGCTTTTAGATAATTAGTCTCGTTAAACCATTTTCACCTATAGTTTGCTTCATAGAATTGATAAATCATAAGGTTGTACCAGTCCCTGAGAGACGATACCCGGACTTTCCGGTTTTACTACGAGATAGGATTGAGGCATTACGCTTTTGCCCTATCAATGATCCAAGCTTCTCATTTTGTATATATGTTTATGTTATTGTCTTTGTGAGTATGCATGTACATATAAAAAACTTTGATTGGAAAATGTTGGATGTCTGAACTTCAGTTTTGGCAAAATTGGAGCTCCATGAAATTGGAATATTTGTAAATAACTACAATGGTGGTTGCCATTTTACCGAAAACTTTATGTTAGGAACGGAACAACAACAAGAACGAGGTTACCGAATCTGGAGCTGAGTCGCGGACTAGGTCGCTCTCTTAAAGACGTTCGCGGCACTGCCCTCGATGCACACGACAGACTATCGAAATGCTCGGCGGTTTTGTGCGAAAACCGAAGCTCTTTGAACACCCTCTCTATTGTGTTTAGAGGGGCTGGGGAGGTTGCTATTTATAGGAGCCGAACCCCTAAGAATATACCCTCTTGCTTGGGGAATAAGTCAGATTTAATTAAGAAAGATAATTACTTCCTTAATTAGAACCCGTCTGTAAGATAACTCCCTTTTGTGCCAAACCTTGTCCATGAAATGCAAACGAGCTTTGTATTGGGTTACAGATAACATATGTGTCCACCAGGAGGTAGTCCACTCGATGCGGGCAAAGAAGGGAAGGGTGGGATGAATAATATTGAAGATTGATTTAGCCAAGGCTTATGATCGCATTCGGTGGGAGTTTGTTCGGGATACACTCGAGGCAGTGGGCACGCCAGCTAGTTTCGTTTAGGCTACGATGGCTTGCATTACTACTGATTCTATGCAGATTTAGTGGAACGGAGGCCTTACCAACTCTTTTAGTCCCTCGAGGTGACTCAAATAGGGATGTGCGCTATCCCCTTATATTTTTACGCTTTGTACGGAACGTTTAAGTCATTTAATCAATGATTCGGTGAGAGAAGGCCATGGCAGCCAATAAAGCTGACCAGCAGAGGGCCAAATCTGTCTCATTTATTTTTTGCAGATGACCTCATACTATTTGGAGTGGTGTCTAGCAGGCAGGTGCGAGCTATCATGCAGTGCTTCCAGCTTTTTGGACAGGCTTCGGGGTAAAGCATCAGCAAGTCTAAATCGATGGTCTTCTTCTCCCCTAATGTTCGACCAGAGTAGAGAGTAGCATTGAGTGCTGAACAGGGAATCCCTCAAACTTCGAACCTGGGGCGCTACTTGGGAGTTCCAGTAATTCACGACCCGATGACCAAGGCGACATACAACGAGCTGGTTGACAGGATTGACTCTCGCCTGGCGGGGTGGAAGACGTCCACTATGAGCCTTGCAGCTAGGATTACTCTAGCTCAGTCGATCCTGTCTTCACTCCCCTTGTACACTATGAAAACATCGTTTCTACCAGCAAGTGTTCGTGATTTGATCAACAAGAAGATCAAAGCATTTGTATGGGGGAGTTCGGAGGGAGGACGCAAGGTTCACCTGGTGGATTGAGAGACGGTCTGTAAGTCAAAGGAAGAAGGTGATCTAGGACTCCGGTCGGCTATGCGCACCAACGAAGCTTACATTGTGAAGATTGCATGGAGATTGCTTAGGAAGCCGAATGATCTTTGGGCTAAAGTGGTGCCAAGCAAGTACACGGCGGAGTCCGAGGCGGGATTGGTTCCTAGGAGGACTGACCGGATCTCATACCCATGGCGGGGGGGGGGGGGGAGTGTGCTAAGAGTATGGCACAAGACCCAGGAAAATTTCGGCCTGGAATATAAGAAATGGGAAGGAGGCTCGATTTTGGCGAGATAGGTGGCTAACGGATGGTGATCCCCTCGAGACATATGCCCCGGATGTCCATGCGGAAGTTATGGGCATGCGTGTGGAGGACTTCTTCCTAAACGGGTGAGTGAAACCAGGATTATATTAAACATTTCTTACCAGGTGATATTGCTTCGCAGGTCTTACTCCACCCGGTACCCGACGGGAACGATGCGGATGTTCGATGCTGGCGTTTTGTCGTTGATGGGCACTTTAACTTCAAATCACCGTATGAACTCTTGGGGGAGGAGGATGCCAGCCTCCCGCAAAGACATCCCAACTAGCGATCAATTTGGAGAGCCCCAACTCTTCAAAGAACGAGAACCTTTCTCTGGCTAATGGCGCATGAAAGACTACTTACCAACGCGGAAAGAGCCAGGCGACACCTCACCACGAACGACATCTGCAAGTAGGGGTGGCTATTTGGACCGGGACCGGATTAAAAACCGGAAACCGGACCGTATAACCCGGACCGAGACCGGACCGGGACCGGATAGTAAACAATCCAATCCAATCTTTGGGCTTAGATTTGAGGTAAAAAACCGGATAAAGACCGGATAAGAGAGCTCAACACCCAAAACTTAAGGGTAATTTGCATAAACGGTCACAAACCTTTGCACTTAGTACAAAACTTAACCAACTGCTCACCCTTTAAGGCTTTAGGCCACTCAAATCCCACAATCTCAATGTAAAATCAAGACTGAATCGGGACCGGACCGGATCAAAACTGGACCGGATCAAGACCGGACTGTATCCAATCCAATCTTCGGTCCTTATATTTTCAAAAAGACCGGACTGGACCGGATCAATTTGGGCCAATTTAACCGGACCGGACCGTATAGCCACCCCTAGCTGCAAGATATGTGGAGGGGGGCCAGAGACGACACTTCACGTGCTCAGGGATTGTCTGTTCGCCAAGGCCACTTGGGCTGATGTACTCCACGACAAACCTGATGCAGCCTTCTTCGATCCTAGCTTGGAACGGTGGATGACCCAGTACACTACAGGGTGGAGCCGAGACCTAGACTGCACCTTTTTCGTAACCATGTGTTGGTTATTGTGGAAGAACCGGAATAGCTATTGTTTCGAGGGAGAACTGAAGTCACATGCACAAATCGAGGGGAAAGTTGCTCAGCTGAGACATCAAATCTTTCAAGCCCTTGAGAAGGATACTGTTGTTTTCGGAGCCGGGGTACTCCAAATATCGAGAGCAATTAGATGGACTCCACCACCAACAGGGTGGACGTGCCTGAATACTGATGGATCAGTGATACCTTCCTTGGATAGTAGTGCGGCCGGCGGCATCTTGGCGGGGGACAATGGCCGCTTCATCTCAGCTTTTATAGTGAACCTTGGTGTGTGTGTGTGGGGGGGGGGGGGGGGGGGGGGGGCTCTATCACAAATCCAAAACTAGCTAGGATTGTGCATGGGCTTCGGATCGCCTGGGAAATAGGAACTAAGAAGGTTCTTCTGCAGACCGACTCGACGACGGCAGTGCACCTCATTGAGTTGGCGACGCCAGAGCATCTCCACTACACCAGCATTACGGAGATTCGACAGTGGTTACAACGTGATTGTGTGGTTCTATCGCCCATGTCTATAGAGAGAGGCGAACATAGTTGTTGATTACTTGGCCGATATAGGCCACTCTTTTCCTATCGGTAGACATCTGGTTGCTCTTCCCGATAGTAGTTTGTCTTATTGGTTGTACCATTACATTATTGGGGGTTTAGACCACCCGTTTGATTATTGAATAAAGGTTGGAGCGCCCTTTTGCGCTCCGTTTTACACACAAGAAAAAAAAATACAGCAAGACAAAACTAGCTCTGTATCTCACATAATATAATCTCAGTAAACATAATCCGCTTCTATAAAAATTAAATATAAAAATTCAGCGAATAATCACAGTAACAATTTAATCAATTTGCAATTACACCTCTTAAACTGAATGATCTGATCCCACTTTTTTTACTAGCCCAACGAGTAAAGCGGCGTTGATGCGGCGCAACATGATGAAGAAGATCCACCACGAAAAAGAGAAAGGCCAAACTTGAGAACAGCAAACAGATGCAGTCGACGGCCGGGTACCGACCATTCAGCCCGGGGTCTGCGCCGAGGAGCACCACGATCACGAGGAAGCTGACCATTGTTGACTTCACGGTGTGTAGAGTGGACGCCCCAACGGAGAAGTAGGCGGCGATTTGGCAGGCCGGCGCCGTGATCCGCATCGTTGGGAACATCGACAAACCGGAGGATAATTCGTCATTATTATTGGAGGAGGGCAGAAACTTGTTCAGAAGCAGTAAGGTGGCGTTTGATGAGATCCACAATGTTACTAGAGACACAATGAACATGGTTACTTTCTTTGCCAAGGATGGAGATTGGAACGATTCCATGGACGATGGTTCCGCAGCCGCCATTGTTGATGTTCTTGATCAAGGCGATTAGTCGATAATGACCTAAATGCTCTATTTGTAGTAAGGTTGGTAATTTCCTTTCCTAGTTGTAGTAGCAGTAGGCAACTCGAGCATTCAGAATTTGTATTGGATTAGAATTAGGCGAACTGCAGAGTTATTCTCACCGAAGTCTCAGCATTAGCAGCAGTGCGAATAGTGTACAATACCATACCAGATGAGATCAAGAAGAAGAAGATGATGCTAACGAATTAGGAGATGCAAAGTTACTGAGGTAAGCATCAGCCAACATTTGTCCTAGCTTAACCTGAGCTTCAGTACAGAGATGGAGATTGTCTTCCTTGAGCTTCAATCCCTTCGCATCCACGCACACCAAGTTCGTCATCTTCATACACAGCTGTGCTTCCCTCACCTTCTCCAAGTATTTGTGGTCCCCTGATGCCAGCGCCACCTACACACATTCCACCAATTCTATGAAATCTAACACAGGACACAAGGGTTCCAAAATGTGAATTGGGATAACCGCGAAACAATCGTGATAAAACCATATCAACTTGAACACGAAACATTGAAACAGCAAGGCCAAGGATTCAACTTGATCACGATTAACGATTTCAGTAGTCCGAACTACCGATACAGTACGATTTTACAAACATCCAACACATTTTATTTAGAGGACAGGCTTCGAATTCGTTCAAAGTTAGGATTAGCAAGCTAATTACCTGAATTACTGGGAGATTCGGTAGACCCAAATCCTCTCGAACGTTCTGAATCAGCTTCTCCATGTTCCGCTGGTACGCGTCGGCCTCGTGGTGCGTCGACGTGTCGCTCTCTCCTTGGTACCACAGCAAGCACTTGATCTCCGCACCGGATCTCACGCTCTCCTTGGCTCGTCTCACCATGTTTTCGTACAGCTGTTCCCCACGCGCCCACTCTCTGATCGCCGTCCCTCCCACGGCGCACGGCACCAATCCGATCGCCTCCCCGGCCCCGCCGCCGCCGCACGACCGATTCTTCACGGAGTTCGCGAATGACATCCCAGGCCCCACCCCGCACGCTTTTCTCGTGTCGATGTCGGCGTGGAGAGGCACCGCCGCTTTCTCCCACCGCAGATCGGCGGAGAGGCGGAGGATTTCGGGGCGAGATTCGCATTCCGGAGGCAGGATCCCGTCCCAGAGCTTCTTGTGGTGGTTGTGGGGGTCGGTGATTACGCCACCACGGCCGGCCATGTTGCTCTGCCCTGATAAGATGAAGATCTGCGATGGTGTGTGCTGTTCCGACATCCTCGATCTTCTTCGTTTGCGGTGAATTCTTGATTCCAGAGGATGAAGAATTGTGGGATAGTGAGAAATGCTCCGCACTAGTTGACTCTTGACTGGGAGTGGAGTGGCTAGTGTGGGTTGGTCAAATTGCATATGGACCGGATAGGTCCAATGGGTTCTTTTTCCGCATCTAGGCCTTATACATCATGTGGGTCAAGCCCGAGTTTTTCTTCTTCTCGAAAGATTCCAGGCCTTATAAGGTCCATGTGATGGAGGGCGTGTCTGCAAAATCGTACCATATTTTTTTCAGAAAAAAATTCATACAAGAACCTAAGTTGGCAGACTATTTTACCAATAATGGTTAAATCATGATTTCAGTTCAAAATACTCTATCACTGATAAACCGGCTCTCGAAATTCACATGTCTAGTGGGTGTCCTAGCCGCATTCGCCATTCAGCTCAAGAAGTTGTTTGCTGAATGCCAAGATTGGATTGGGAGAAACTTAATGTTGATCGAAACAATAGGTTTCGTTCTTCAAGATTTTATAGGGACATGGGTTATTGGTTACGATTGAAATATTAGATGATCGAGGTGTCTTCGAACTCCCGAATGACCATCCTTCTTTTCTATACTAAAGATTTCGTACATCATCCATTAGATGTCATTCTTGAAGACTATAACTCTCTTATTCATTGAAACGGGGAATGTTATTAGCAAAACACACATTTTGAGAGGCAAATCAAGATGCAGACGTGCTAAGACAATTAGAAATATGGTTACAAGATAGGGGAAATTTTGTGGGCAATCCCTCCAACGAACATTGCTCCATTGGTGGTCCATGATAGCATTGGTGATCTATCCATTATACGGTAATATCTATTTTTTATTTAAACCTTTTTCGAATTCTTTTTTATTAGTCAAACCTTTCGAAATACTAAGAATTAGCCAAATGTTAACTTTCATATAACAATTTTGTTAGTAATATTGACTTGACAACATGATACCGACTTGGAAGAAACACATGAAGATCAACATTCCAAAATTTTAGTATTTTAACTAGGATAAGAGTTACATAATTATTAACGATAAAGTAAAAGTGGCTAATATTTTGATGCATTACGAAAGATCTGACTAATTAAAAAAATTTGAATAGGTTTGGATACTATAAAATAATAATAAAAAATTAATAAAAAGTATACATTACCCTACATTCTTCTTTGTCATCAATTTCAGTTCGTAATTTTTTTTGTCTTCCCAAATTACTACAACTCAAAGGAGTACAGAAAACACAAGTGGGAATGTGCGGCCCGTGAGAGCTTTCATCATTCATTCAATTGCTTTACCCAAAGTGCCTTTTCCTATTGTTTTTTTTTTTAGGTTCACGCATTGAACGTAGGAGGGTGACAAAACTGGCAGCCAGGCCATGCATGGCCCAGTTTTGGGGTTCAATTTGACATCACTAGGGCGAAGACCATTTGCTGCTGCTGCTGCTGCTGCTGTCAATTTCATCAGTGGGATAGCTTTCAATTCATCATATGGTCTCATTCACTTGCAATATTAATCATTCCATTCGTTCACTTCCAGTACTGGTTTGATATGTCATTCATTCTTCGTACCAACTTTTGTTTGTTGGGAATGGATCATCGATCACTTCAACGCCTCCACAAAGAATCAATCAGCCCATCATGCAATATAATGCAACTAACCAGAAAAATTATTCGATGCCCTGCCTGCAATCCAATACCATCTTCGCCCATTTAATGATTGTGTTCGGAGAACCAACATCTCAGCTATGCCTAAACAGTGTAAGAGAGCTAGCTAGCTACCTCATCAACATCATTTTCTAGTTCTGCTGACACTGAAAGCTGTTTGATTAGTATTCCTTTTGTTTGTGCTACAATACGGAAAACAATAAGTTCAACCCTTTTTTTTGCAATTCCATTGGTAATTGACAAAGAACACGAGGATAAATTGTCTTTCACAGTGGTGGAGGCAGGATTTGAAACTACCCCTGTCCTCTTTTCGTATTATAAATATATAAATATTTAATGAATTTAAATTAATAATATCTACATAATTTATTTTCATATATAAAAAATAACGACTAATACAATAGGTACATTCATAAACAACCATGATGAGTTTTCATATTCTTAAAGAAACACAAAATACACTCTTAAGTAAGTCATTTCCAATGGATTCCACTAAACAATCATATAGCAAACTGGTTGTGAATTCGACTTCAGAGTTCGTTCTTGATATATCTCAAAGCTGGAAATATTTTATCTACACTTGTCGTCAAAACTAGTGGAATCGACGCTATCACTGAACTGCTTCAAGATTGCTGGGAAAATAATTGAATAGGCATATGCAGAAAAGAGATATATTCCAATTGAGATTTCGTTTATAGTATAATAAATTAATTTAATGTCAATTTATAATCAAGTAATGAATTGTGATATATAGTGACAAAATACGTTGCACTAGGTGTCGTGTTCAATCCTTAACATAAACATATATGAAGTATTTTTATTCCTCCCATAATTTACCCATCCCGGGACAATGTCAAACTAGGCTGGCTCCGCCTATGCTTTCACTCCATTTAAGGAAGAGCTTATTCCAAATAAAGTTATAGGATTTAAGAGGTTTACAGACACCTAAATGTACCATTGAAAAGGTCCTCCAGCTTAAAATTGACCAGTGCAATTTCATGAGTCAAACGTTTGATCTATCTCAATGTGAGGAATATGTGGGTGGAAAAAAAAACTTACCTTTTCTGATATGGTATAATTATATTATTACCTGTCATAACTCATAAGTCTAAGGATATATGATTGCAGCAGGAAAGAATCATCACAATCAAGTGAAGATCAAGAGAAGAACGTTGCATTAAGAAATCTTCACAATCAAGTGAAAGATCCAGTGAAGACCGTTGCATTAAGAAATCTTCGCAATCAAGTGAAAGATCAAGAGAACCGGTGCATTAAGCAACTATAAATACAAAAAAAAGCAACAAACACAAGTCTTACGAAATGTGACAGAGCAATCCTACACAAAGCAAGATCAAACACTATGTGATTAGCAATAGAATTCAGAGGTGATCGAAATTCATTATCTATTCTTGTCTTTACCGTGAGTGCTTGTGAGGAAGAGAGAAATATGTATATTGCTCTATACTTGTCAATGGTCTTAGTTCCACCCAAAGGAGCTCAACTTTTAATTAGATTGGAATAAGACAAAAAGCTAGACACTAAGTCTCAAAGGGTAAGCCACATTTGAGTTGAGACGTAAAGCCAATAGGGCCGAACTCGGTTAACAAAACATCATGTGTACGTATGTCTCTCTTTGTACTCTTCTCTATTGTGTGCGTGATGCCCTACATGTACAATTTCTTGAAGGTTGAAGACGACTCGATAAGGCCCACACCCCATCTCGCCAAACACTTGGACTCTAACAGCGAGTCAAGTTCAAACTACTGATTTCCTATTATTTGTGTTGGTCCATCATACTTATACGTATATTTGCTTGCAACATATTTTACGGACAATGAGTTATATAAGTAGCTAGTGATGATCACACGTTAATTTTAACTATATTGAGCTAGCACCTTAACAAAAACACAAACCAAGTTCCACCATCTCTCGGATATCTCTTCCTTATGATTGACTGTAGTCAGTATAAGCAGAAATAAGAATAATACATGTAGTTAACGATGAGTTAAAAAACCCAAAATAAAATGAATT